TATATATGATCTGTAAATTTTAATATTAATACAAATAGTTTTTTTTTTGTCTTTGTCATTGTTAATTAGTATGATATACAATATGTAGAAATTTTGTTCTATAGAATTATTTCATCCCTAGTGCTTGTTTGTATTTAGTTAGCAATTGATTGATTGCATGAGAAAGAGAAACGGAAAAGAAGAGAAGAAGGAAAAAAACTAGTTTAGAATAAAGATTGCATAGACTAGAAGGAACGAGTAAATTAGATATCAATGTTATAAGATCAGTAGAAATGAACGAAGTGTATATGTATATTAGATTGAATATATCTTTATTTGTTTTTCTCATTATTAATTACATTTTGGTTATATATATATAGATGTTTAGATCAATGGGTTGAATTGCAATGAATGGGCACCGAATCATTTCGATTATTTTTTATTTTCTTATTCAGCTCAATTATTGCTGATAACTTTATAAATGTTGAACGACAAAAAATTATTCTCAGTAGTTTATTTACACATTCATGTTATCCATCAATTAATTTTGCTCTTAAACAAATTGCAACAAAACAGATAGATATTGAACTTGAACTTAATGGAACAGAAGATGTTATTCCTGTATGTTATATTAAATAACATATATATATATATATATAGTTAAATTATTTCTTCTATTTAGTGTGATGTTGGCACAAGTGTAAAAGTATTTTTTGATATCATTAATCAAACTACATCATTGAGTGTACTTATGACTGATGCTTGTCAAAGTGTACTTAGTTATATGGCGGAAGTTGCTACTTATTTTCATTTACCTGTTGTATGTATTCTCATTTGTTTACATAAGAAAAAAATATATATAAATTGATTCTATTATTTTTAGTTTTCATTTACTGATAGCGATTTATCATTATCATCTGTTGATCGTTATCCACTTATTTATCATATGGTACCATCTGATCGTGCTCATAATTTAGTACGTAAACAACTTTTACAATATTTTAATTGGACACGATTTGGATTAATCTATCAACATGGATCAAAATATACATTGGTTAGTTAAAAATAAAATTTATTTTTATTTATATCAAGTACAAGTTGTACTACATACAATTGTATAAATAAATAAGTTTTTCAGAGTTATATAGGTACATGTTTGCGTCTGGTTATTTTGATGATAAGAGAATCTTATTAACATTACTGACGTTTTGTTTATTTGATTACTAGACATGCGAATGTTTTAAATAAACAATTCGATCGAGAGACAAACCATTTGGGAATAGCTACGCCTCATTTGAATTTGTTTTTTTGACAGTATATGATCTTGAGAAAATTTTGACTTCGAAACATTTCTTATTATTATAAGAAAGTATTAGAAATATCAAGGTCAATAATTTTTGTTTTAAGATACAAAGATTAATGTAAAAGGAAATAACACCTTCTTTATCTAAACACGATATAAATAAAAATTCATTTATCTAACATGAGGCAAACATTATTATAGAATTTTTTCTTCTATTTCCTAATGATTATGTTTTTCAGACATTTCTTTGTAATTAATAAGATAAAAAAAATGTACTTTATAAAATTTCCTTCTATCGCATGTTTCAATTATGAATTATTTATCTTATTTAGGTAGCTAATGATTTTTCTGATTTAACTGCGATGGATAAAAATCAATGGGAAGTTAATTTAACACGAGGTATACCTTATCGTTATGGTCCGGAATGGTATGATGATAATATAATAAATATTAAAACATTACTCAAAGATTTTAAAGTAGAAATTTAAAAAAAAAAGAAAGTTTCATTTTATGGACTTTTTATTTTTCTTATCTAGGCAAAAGATGTTCGAATAATTATTGCAAATTTAAATCAAACACTTGCAACTCATATGTTCTGTCATGTGAGTTTAGTTGATAATGATTACTTATGACTAAATTTTATCTTGAAAAACAATATAGGCTGCTAGAGAACATGTATATGGTTCAAGTTTTCAATGGATTATGCTAGGTTATCCATCAGTATCAGCATGGTGGACCGAAAAAACTGATTGTTCAATACAAGAAATAATTCGGGCAATTAATGGAACTTTTCAAACACGTGTACCACGTTTATCTATAGATGATGTTGATGTAAGAAGAAAATTAAGATCAACTATTGACAAAAATTTATTTTTAGGATCGACCAGATCATGTTTTGGAATATTTAAAATCCTTTTCAGATTTAGAAAAAAATTATTTTGATGCTTATGCATATGATACAATATGGAGTTTAGCATATATTTATCAGTCAAAAATATTATTTAATCAATCAAATATTAAAAAAATTGTCGATAAAATTGATTTTATTGGTGCTACAGTAAGAAATGTTATATCCTGACAAGATAAAAAGATTTTCGTATTTAAATATTTAGGGAAGAGTTAGATATTTAAATAGTGGACGTATTGGTGAAATTCTTGTTGAACAATATGTTGGTAAGAAGTAGAAAAAAGCAAAGGAAATATTTAATCGAAATTTTTTTAGCTTGTCGAATGATGAGTGATGGTTCATGTAAAATACCATGTTATGAAGAAGATAAAGATTGTAATTTAACAGTTGTGAAAATCTTTCTTGCTAAAAATTCAGACTCAAAATATGGACCACCAGTTTTACATAAATTGAATTCAGCTATATGGCATGGTTTGTTTAGAACTCAAAAAAATAATTCTTCATAAAATAGAATCTATTGATTTAGGAAATAATCCAACAAGAGATCGAACTAATCAAATTATTCAATATGAACATATTTATCTATCTGTATTTATATCAATAACAATAATTAGTGGAATTGGATTAATTATTTCAATATCATTATTTATTTTTAATATTCGTTGTCGATCACATAGGTATAGGAAAAATAAAGTTTTTTTAAATTCAATTTCATAAAATTATATTTATTGTTTTTAGATATATTCGAATGTCAAGTCCATCTTTGAATAATATTATTTTATGCGGTTGTATGTTAGCTTATATTAGTATCATTTTAATGGGAGTTAATTCATCTTTATTTCCACAAAAATGGTTTACAAAAATTATTATGAATATTATCTGTGCAGTAAATAAAATAAGAATATACCAGGAAATTTTTAATAAAACTCAATAATTTCTATTTAGACTCGAATGTGGCTTTTATGTATTAGTTTTACATTAGCATTTGGTTCAATGTTTAGTAAAACTTGGCGTGTACATTCAATTTTTACAAATATTAATTTAACACGAAGGGTAAAAATTAAGAAATATAACTCATGATTCATGCAGACAATTTAATTAACGATCTTAAAATACTAATGAATATGTACATGTCGATTTTTGTTTCATTAAAAATGATAATAATACATATTTGTTTGACAAGACGACGACATGTCACGAATAAACTTACTCGAGAATTATTTCTAATGATAGTTGTCATTGGTGAAGTTTTGATAATTCCTAATTTTCTCTTTTAAATCTAGGCTATTCATGATTCTCGTTTACTTGCTGTAGTCGGTGCTCTTTTATGCATTGATTTATTTTATTTAATTGCTTGGCAAATATTCGATCCAATTCAACGAAAATATATTTATGATACACCTTATCGACCTAAAGTATTTTCTTATTAAAACATAAATTTAATAATTGTTTTTGTTTTATAAGTATAATCAAGATATTCAAATTAATCCATATTATGAAGTATGTCAAGGTGAATATACAGCAGTTTGGCTTCTTATTCTAATTTTATATAAAGGTTTATTAATGGTAAAAAGAAAAAAAAATATTTTTTATATTTTATTCTCTTTCTCGTAGAGAAGAGTCCAGTAAACATAAATTGTCCGATTGTGTGTCCGCAGGGTCAAAAAAACATCGAAAACCGATTTTCTAGAAAAGACATTTCTGGAGGTATTTCGAATCCGAGATCTGTTGAGGGAGCAAAGGTCAAAAAAACATCGAAGATCGTTTTTTCATAGTTTTTCCAGTAAATGTGAAGAGGATGCATTTCTACGAGAAAGAGCTAAGCGAGTTCACGGACGAGCGTGACTTGTTTCTTAAATATATAAATATATTTAGTTTTATGGTTCATTTCTTTCCTGGAAAACTCGTCATGTAACAATTCCAGCATTGAATGATTCACGTTATATTGGTTTAAGTGTTTATATTGTATTTATTTGTTGTACACTTGGATCATTAGTAACATTTATTCCATCGGAACAAATTCAATTGTCTTATTGTCTAACATCACTTTTTATTGTTATTTGTACAACAGCAACTGTAGGTCTAGTATTTGTACCAAAAGTATGTCGTCTTCTTTTTAAAATAAAGAAGTAGAGAAAAATAAAATTTAGATTATTGAAGTATATCGTGATCCACATGCAAAACGAAGACAAATAAAAATGATTAGACGATTACAAACTAATCCTGGTCGATCGATGAAATTAACAAGTAAACATTTAAATAGTGCAATACTTGATAATAATCAATTAAATTTTGTTTTTTCTATGGTAAACAATATCATTATTTTTGTTAATTTTTTGAAAAAATTGAATTTATTTTTATTTTTTAGCAAGAACAAACATTGGAACGTTTGATGGAACAATTAAAAAATTCTTCAACAAAAAATAATATTATTAGAGGTAAGATTAGTATGTAAATCTTATTCAGTATCAAAAGATAGCATTGATACACGAATGTGAGAATAGTAAAACTAATGAATTATGAAAAAGAGATGAAATAATGCTTAATTTCAAAATTTTATTATAGTACCATATGAATTCGAGCGTCTCATTAGCTCCGAGAACAACATCGAAGAAGAAGAAGAAGATGAGGAAGAGGAGGAAGAAGATGATGATGATGATGATGAGGAAGAAAATCCAACTACACATGATGATGACGACGACAATATAAACGATCGATTTCTTTCAAATAATAAGTAAATATTTCTAGAGACGAATGATAAATCATCTATTAATTCATAAATTTTAGTAGACCTTTCAAGGGACGTGTCGCACGAGCACTTAGTTTATGTCTTTATAATAAAATTCATATGGCACAAATATGTTGGTCAGAAACATCTGGCGGTGTAAGTCATGGTTCGATTTCTCAACTTCAAGATAATCAACGTTCACCATCAATGACATTATTAAAATCAAGTTATCATAAATCGGCTGATTTTGTTAAAATTGAAGAATCTCAAGAACAAACATCTAACTTAGTAGAAACAATATCATTATCCGATATTGAACCTGTATATGATGGTTTAATATCTCTTGATGACATTCGTCTTGATAAAATGATTGAAACTGATCTTATTTCATCTAATTTTTAGATAGTTGTATTTATTTTTGTTAATTAAAGAAAAAAGGGAAGAATGAAAAAGATAATTTTCAACATTTTTCATGATAAAATAAATCAATATCATTATAATAAGTGATATCTCCATGACGTACTTTAGTTAAACGTTCACATAATTCACACATACGAATTCTTTCGACAGCTTTTCCATCAATAACAATATCATGTGTTTTTCTCCATTGATGATACATTGAATATAAAGTAAAATTCGAATGAATTTCTTGTAAATAATTTGCTAATTTATTCATATCTTTATTAAAATCATTTATATGTATAAATGAATTCGGTGGTGCAAAATGTTCATAATCTTTTCTACCAGGTCCATACACAATTGGAATAAGACCATGATAAAATGCTTTATAAAATTTTTCTGTTATATAATCTCGACATGTCATAGATTCAAAACTTAAATAATATTTAAATTTTGACATATAATCTTTTTCGCATTGACTGCCAGCAGAACAAAAATGCATAGGATAATAATCCACACAGCGACCATAACCTTCTACTGATGTATTAACTTCTTTACGTAAATTATAATATAAATCTAAACGTTCACGGGCATTGCAATTTGATACAAACCATAGTGCACCATTTG